GGCATTACATTCACTGTGTGGACTTCCGAACAAAAGATGTCAACATAAACCAGGTAGAGGAGACACTGTGCGGACTTGGGCAAGTCCACACAGTGTTTCCCCATTTCTGGAAAACAGGTTTAGAGGCATTTTTGGGTTAGGTTTATCCGTAGCAGAATGAAGAGAAACACTTAAGGGAATCATAGAAAAAAAATTGGGTTGAAAGAGTTTTCACAGTTTGAGAAAAATGAGTTTTTTCACTGGTTTTTCTTAACTACACGAAAGCAATGGAAAGTCCACACTTGGTATGTAACGTAAACTTGGGTGTGTGTGTGTGTGTGTGTGCTCTTGTATTGTATTACGCTCGAGGACAGACAACAAAAAGAGCACAAAGGAGCCTTTGACCCTCGGACGACGGTGCCTATTGTTAAAACCGGTCCTCGATCGTACAGTTATGTGCTTAGTCTATGGGAAAGTGTTAAATTAGAGGGACAAAGGAAAACACAGTAGTTGACCTCAGGCGTATAGTAAAAAAAGACAGTGTGTGTGTGTGTGGGTGAGTTTGTCTTACATACGCAGTGTGGACTTCCGAACAAAAGACGTCCACATAATGTAGGTAGCACCGACGTTGTGTGGACTTGCCCCACGTCCACACAGTGTTTCCCCATTTCTGGAAAACAGGTTTAGAGGCATTTTTGGGTTAGGTTTATCTGTAGCAGAATGAAGAGAAACACTAAAGGGAATCATAGAAAACAAATTGGGTTGAAAGAGTTTTCACAGTTTGAGAAAAATGATTTTTTTCACTGGTTTTTCTTAACTACACGAAAGCAATGGAAAGTCCACACTAGTCATGTGAAACAAGTATGGGTGTGAACGTGGGTGCGTTCAACCTGTTAAAAGAACACCATTGAATTGTGTGCGTTGTTTGCATGAACAGTTCTCAAAAACGCTGCAAGCAACCAATACTAGCGGCAAAGCATTTGCCCCTTTCGAACAGTGCCACTGCACTAGTCTTCTTAAATCAGCAACATTAGGGGACCATTAAATCGTCGCTCTGCTCACAAAGTGCACAAAGTGACGAAAACCTCGAAAAACGCTGATTGTTCGATTTTCAGTTTTACTAGCCTTTTTTATTATAGTTGTCTCAAGGAACAATTTGACAAAATTTCAAAGCGAAAAATTGTTTACTTTCTTAATTATTGTAAACAAACATTTGACAAAAGCCTGAAATCTTTGCTTTCCTTTTTACGAAGTGTAAAAAAGTGTAAATTGTTCTCACGCAGTGACAAAATGTCACCTCATGAGCACGGCCGGAGGAATTATACACGCGTTAGGATGGGAGCATCATAGATATAGAACTTTAAAAACTAGATCGGACGCGCGTTCGAACGAGCCATTCACTGTGCACAAAACTTTTGGGTTCTTCATGGACGCGCTGCAAAGTCACGTGAATAGGGCCACGCGCCAGGGGCAGCTGGTGAATGCTGGACGGAAAAATATCGCCAACACCCCCACCTGAATTCAGCTATGCGTTGAAGTTCTTAACAACAGTTTGACATTTTTAACTACGATTTTTGACATTTCACATTCCTTCAAAAAGTTACACATGGGTTTGCATCTGTGTCGTATTTGGGGCCAATTTGGCGACAGTGTTGAAGGTAATTGATTTTCAGCCAAGAATACTAATTTGTACCGAGAAGTAACCACAATGTGTTCTTATATCTTTACAAAGGCAAATGTCAAAGCGTAGTTAAAATGTCAACCTGTTTAATGAGATTTCCCCCTCCTTTTAATTTTACCAACATCAAAATGAAATAACAGAAAATCATTTTGTAAATGAGCAACAATAAAAACACGCACTCGAAATAATACGTTGCTTTAATATTGCTAGCCTCAATAGGAACATTAAATTTGAAATGAATGGATGACTACAAAAACCATCTCTGGTCATCTGTTGTGATTACTGAACACACTGATACTTGAATAACTTTTAGATAATAAACAATTTATATACAATGAAAACTTACTCGCTAGCTAATAAATACACTGATGAAATGGCAGTTCCATATCCATAGCCATTAATCAAGGTGTCAAGAATATCATGGCTCATGAAAAAAATACATTTGGTTGTCACCATCCGCATAATTATGTGAAGGTTTAGCCTATGCAACTACCAGCAGTTGAGTATTGCTTCCCATTATTTATGAACCAGAATAAGTAATTTCAATCCTCATATGCATGAACGCAAACAGTCGGCTATTCAATCTTTCAATTTCTGAGGAGCAACAATAAGAAGATAACGAAATACTGAGCAAAACTTGTTAAATTTTAGCTATGGTCCACGCATGAGGCACAGTTATGCGTGGCCAGCTATATCCTCACTGTACGCACAGTCGGCAGTGCAATCTTCTTTCTGACGAAGATGTACGCTTTCGTCAAGCAGTGCAAACTTCTTCATCTGTTCACTATGATTGTGATTCGTAGAGCAAGGCGCAGTTTTCCTAGCTCCAGAAAAGTGACTTCCAATTGCAGAATAGGAAACTGTGTTTCCATCTGGTCGGCCGTCTTTGGAGTAACAAGTTGCTCCTCTTTCAGGCCTTTTACCACCTCTCTGACGGATAAGATCTTTTTCGACATGATCGTCGATTTTCCTGCCGGAGTTGTCTGTTTTCCTGTTCAAGCTTGGACATATAGCCTTCCTGTCATTTCTGGTGGTAAACTGTATGCATGCTCTATCGCTGATGTTTGATTTGCCGATACAGCCATGCACTGAAGCAATATCTTCGACGGGGGGGGGGGGGGGGGGGGGGGTCGGTTCTTTCCTTGTCGTTGGCAGCTTTTCTCTCTCGTGCTGAAGTCTATACACGAGACTGTAGTCTTTCTACGAAATAAAACAAATAAAGCACATGATAGGCCTTTAAATACATGACAATAATTATTGATAGCTATCCTGGCCCCAAGTCTCATTGTAATACTTACAGGCTTCAAATGAGTCGGGTATAGTCTTCAAAGTTGGACGGTACGGCATCGTCACGCAGACGGGTTTTCCCCCATTCCACCTTGAAGCACTCTGCAGGGAAATGGTCGCTGCAAAGACGATCGTGCTTTGAAGGATTCCATTTGCTGCCATTTGGAATATTTCTCCTAATCCGCTGAAGCCTAACTTTTAATCTCTTTCGATCGCCACGGGGGAACCTGGGAAGTAAAATTAATAAGCCTTGACTGAATTTTTTTGTAGTTTTGGCAAAATGCACACATTTTTGTAGGACTTTATCCTTCAAGATATACAATCCGTGTTCTTTAAAAAAAAAATGAAAAGGAGATGGGAGTTGCCTAGATACACTATACACTACAGATCAAACAGCATCATATCTTTACCGTAAATCAACACTCCTGAAGTCTACCCGAAATTGCAAATGTTGTGGATTTTTTTGATATTTTGTTCGTGTTGTTTAGAACACATAGTTAGTAAACAGATTTGTGGCAAGTCTTTCTTAACAATGGACAAATTAAAAGAAAAATCGACGGATCATCACATAGGCCTACGCCTTGAAATTGTTTCCAGTGCAAACGTCATTGATGTGTTCAAACTAGGAGAATTGTGCATTTTCTTCAATCACCCACATCCTACAACAAAAAGTGACTCCCAATCCTTGTTCCCAGCGGACTATTATTGCAAATCACGAGAGGGGAGGGGTGACGTTAGGCCAGAAATAATTGTTAGTCGATGTTCAGGCAAGGAGTACCATCTTAAATTTTAAAACAATGTACTGTCAAGATTTCAAGTAGGCCCTGCGCGGTTATTACAAAATTCGGAGGATCCTTTGGATCACACATGGGGGATTTTTCTACACACCCACTCTTGTGATTTAAGTCCATTGGCCTTGCGTAACGTAGCCTATAATGAGTCATGTGAGTTACTTTTTATAAAAGCTGTCTTGTTCGAAATACAGTCACAAGAGATAAATTCTGTGTATTAAGTTACTCACACATGATGTTAACTTCTTGAGAGACTGTCCTCTGGGACCCTTTCTCCGTCTTAGTTGCACTTTGCTGCTGCACAGTTTGCTACCATTTCAAGTCATTTCCTCCTAGCCTACCACGGCAAGCATCGGTGGAGAAGTGCAAGTGATCGCCACGCCGAAGAAATGCGCGTTTACATTTTTGACCCTATTCACGTGACCAATGGCAGCGTCCTGTCAAAACACGCGTATTATACGCGCGTCCGATCTAGTTTTTTAAGTTCTATATCTATGGGGAGCATACACGCGCGCGCGAACGATGTTGAAAAAGAACAGATGCGCGCGCACTCAAATATTGTATGACGCGTAAAATAACAAGTTTGTTGCGTCGACAAAAGCACAACATAAGTAAAGCCTCCGCAGTTTCATGTTATCACAAAGTGCAAAAATTGTGTACAAAGTATGCGGGAATATATGGGACCCAAAGTATTGATAATCTCACGAAGTGCAAACAAGTTTTATTAATGAATTACTGTTAAATTAAGAACTATTTTTGACAAACAACTATGAATTACCAAAGAGCAAATCATACGCTGTCGGACAATGCAAACACTTTCGAATTTTGTTACTGCGAAGTATCGAAAATGTCTATTGAAAAAATGAATAATTTCAAATGCAATTATCTCGGGATGAACTTTTGTCAACTTTTGAGGTTTTTGTTACTTCACGAGCAAAGCGACGACATGTTATGCTTGCTTTGTGACTTGATCAAAAAAAATGTCTGTCCCTCGTTACCCACCCGTATTTAAAAAAAAAAACCAAAACAGTTATATCGTTTGCAGTTGAGGATGTTTGTTCGAAGCTTGCAATGTTTACAGCGACAATTTAGAGACCTCGATCCTAGTTTTATTATCAAAACCTCAAAAGATCTTCTCAAATGTCACACATTTTTGCCCATTAGGGTGGAATTGCCCATACATTCAATGTTTTAGATTACGTTCACAATTCTTCATGTTAAGTATTTAAAAGTCTCCCTTTTCCTATTTCTTTTACCTACAGAAGAACATAAAACATCTCGCCATCTCCGAATGGTGTTAAATGAAGTCAACAAGAATCTACCTAAACGCGAGCAGGTGGATAGGAGACTTCAGTTACCCTACATCGCCATGGGTTACTTCAACGAGAGGGGGGGAAGCTTGTCCCTGGATGAGTATGGCGTGCACCTCACCATCCCGCGTGGTGCAATAGCTCCAGGCTCTCCTCAGCAAGTCTACATCTATGTAGACCCTACGGCACCACCGACTGACGCGGTTGAGCCGACAGAGGTCGCGCTTTCACCAAGTGTCAAGTGCGGCCCTGAAGGGTTGACATTTAAAGAGAGCGTAGTGCTGTCGTTCCCTCACCACTCTGTTTTGACAGGTCAAAGATACATCAATCTGGTTGTCAGAATGCATCATGACGACTCGCAAGAGAAGCAATGGGAGGATGACAATCCTGCATTAGTCACAGAGAAAGAGGTGTTTGTCTTGGTCGATCATTTCACAAATTTCACTCTGGTGGTCACACCTATTCCTGGAAGCAGTAAGCGGTTGAAGGTCGGTGCCTTTGGAGGCCTCCTTGACAAACGACGTTGCCAGTATGCTTTTCGGGTCCATGTTTGGAACGACGAAGAAAGCGTTGAACAGGTACGTAATTATTAAAAAAAAATCGAAAACTTTGCGTCCCTGCATATTATGTTTGTGCTTACAATATTACAAGCGTCAAGACTTCCTTTAATTTGATGTTGCGTCACATTTGCTATATCGCAAAACATTTTTCCCCACCAAAAAAATCGGTTACAAAGCTGCTCACCTGTCACAGTGGACATGGTATGCACAATTAACACGAAGTGTAAACTATTGTCGTCAATTTAAAGCAACTTTGAGTTGTGACATTCAACTGCGAACCATTTCTTGCCCAACTATGCTTTCAAACTGCTCAGCGCTCCCTGCAATAAACTGCGCTGCTATCTGTATCTAGTATATGCTATCTGTATGTGCGGCTATCTGTATCTAGCGATAAAACGCCAACCTCGACAAGCCGATTCCTAGACTAGTCCAGCACTCTTCAACTGACGCATAGGAAGGTTCGTCTTACTTGGTTTTAATCAAAGTCTTTTGATCGCCTTTGTAACTCACCATATTTTATTAATTCTTTGCAAAGAGTGTCCTCCGAGAGGAAGAGCGCATGAAGTCAGAGATGTTGGACGTCTTCAGGAAGTTGCAGTTTTTCTGGGATAGTGGGGACTTGGTTGTAAGGGTGACCGATCTTGACAGTGGTTGGGCAATTCGAGAAGCGACTGAACAGGTTTGTCTAATGCTTCGATTTCCGTTTTCCATTAATTGGTGTTGAGCTCATACTTACAAGCTTGATTTTAATTGGTAACTCATATCGAGGTTAAAGTTCCTTTCTATAAAGGTTCAGATTTTTTTTTATAATTGAGCGCGTAACATGACAATTGAATATTATTACTAATAATTTGATATTGTTGAACTTGTCATAATTTTTTCAAGTACATTTATTGAAAAACTGAATTCATTCTATAGTTTTCTAAACAAGGCCACAAATATACGCTTCGCCACTGACGTTCAGCTTTTCTATTTCAAACGTTTTTTTTTTCATTAGACCATTTATAAGGAAAAAATACGAGTCCAAGAAGAGAACTCTGTAACGTTCAACCTGAAACGGAAAATGGGGGATTCGGAAGACGAAGGGTTGTACTGCGCTGTTCGTACTGATCAGCATTCTCCAAATGAGGATTTGAGGAGACAGACTCAAGTTCTTCTTAACTTCTGCCCCGAAAAAGTAAGTCAATGCCTAATTTTAGTATTTTTCCAACACATTTGCAGATAAAAAAAAGACTCGGAAAATTTTATTGTCGACCTTGTTTCCTATTTTAGGTCAATTAATCTAAAGAGGATTTCAATAAATTTTAAACAACTTATATATGGAATACCTTGCAGTGCTCTAAGCACTTTTGCGGACAAGCAAACCAAAAAAATAAAAAAGGGAAAAAAGGGAGGGAAAAGAAAAAGAGGCGCAAAATCATATCGTTGTTAATTTAATTGGTCGGGGGGGGGGGGAGAATATCCCTGCCCACCCTCGAAAAAATGATCAAACGGGAAAATGCTGGAAAATATATGAAGTGGGCAATTATCCTTAACTGGGGAGAAACTATGTAATCCTGTTCAATTTCAGTTTGCCAGTTCTCAGTAAAAGAGTGCAAGGGTCATGGATAATTTTATGTTTTTGCATCCAAATTCTTTGTTCAACTGTTTTAATTGTCGGGACACTAAACAAAATGAAGTGGTCATTCGTCATCCGATTGACTTTTAATTTTTTTAATCTGGTCATCCATCCAATTCATTTGTAATCTCACCAAATATCAGTGCGTTCATTACAGCAATCTAACGTGGGAATTCTTGCTAACCAATATAATTTGTCATTTTGCCACCAATAATCGGTCATTCTAATTCTATGTAACTGGTTGCATATTGGCCATTACACATTTATTTCATGTTACAAATCATTATCCTTTTGATGGCGCGTGTGTACTCCCAAGAGCTGTACAGTATGGAGCTGTTTACCTCCCAGGGAGCTGAGATGGTATTTGGAATGCTTCATTCGTCCAATGTCCAGGGTAATAATTGCGAAGAACTTTGAGACCTTTGGTATAAAAGGGCCACTTTATAAAGATTAAACGTCGCGTTTAATCTAGTTTATGGAACGCGGTCCCGATGTGTTAGCGATCGTCCCTTACACTTAAGTTTACATCACTGTCGCAAAAGTAAACAAATACACAAGACGATCCCTACCTATGCAAGCTGCGCGCGTGCGTTGGAGCACACGCATTGGCTATCGATTTCGCGCCACGCGCGTCAGAGGACATGATTGGTCCATAGTTTATCCATAGCAACGTGGTTTGTTTATATCGGTTGACGCTGTGATTGACAGCACAGTCCGCCATTGCATTCAGCAGCAGCCAGTTCGGGAATATAAAAACCTCCCCTACGACCGCCGGTCCTCGGCATTTTTTGGATTTTTTGTTCTTGGGTTTCAGGATTTTCTTTCAAGTTGGCGTATTGGCCCCACATAAACACTGTTTGTATACTATTGCAATTAAACAGAGTATTATTACATTTAAATCTTATTACATTTAAGTCTGGATATTAATGTTTCTAGTTTACAGTTATGAACATTGTTACAAATTTTAGGAAATTGGCATGCTTATTCAGATTGTAACTCAAATGGTTCCTTTGAATCTCAGAGAAGGGAATCCCGAGCTTGATGGAAACAGCAACACATAATTTTACAAACAACTTGTGACCGATCATAATAAACAGAATTTGAATAGATGACAGTAATAATCCTGAAATATACTCTCTGTAAACAATGTTGGAAGAATACATTATGTGATTGCTATGTAAATGAATCACACATTATGATGTTAAATTTGTTAAATGAACTTTAGGCAAAAAGAAAAAAGAAAATTAATAATAGTAAAAACAAAACAAAGGACTCCTGAATCCCAAATCAGAACAACTGTGTCAAATCAACAATGTTGTTTTATTCCGGTGTTCGGGTACCGTTAGTCCATAAATATAGATTACTGTTGTGTTATCTTTATTAACCACAGAAACCCTTGAGTACGTGGGAGTGGATCGTGGATAAAATCTTAAAGCTTACCCGTGTTCGTCAACAGACGGTAGGTTCACACAGTTTTAGGTAACAAATTTAAAAGACATTGCTTTTGTACAAGGTGAGTAAAAAAAAAAAAAAAAAAAAAAAAACACCAAATGTCGAGACCATTGTTTCAGTGAAGTTTTGCATGTAGCACTTTTAACATCTCGGATAAAGCCCAATTCCTAAGCTGTACTTTAGTACAAGAATCACTCAAATCACTTATGTACTTTTCAAGTTTTGGTATTTTAATCACAACCACTGTTTTAAAATTCTGTCCACAGATCACAAAAATGTAAGAGATTTTTTTAAGCAAAACAAAAACAAATCACATACGACCAGGATGTGTGTGAAATGTTTGCTGAAAGAACGCAGACCTTTTTTGTGATCCGTGAACAGAACTTTCAAACGGTGGTTGTGTTTACAATCTCGTAACTTGAACAGTACATGAGTGATTTGAATGATGCCTGTACTAAAAAAAAAGGTTATGAATTGGGCGCTTATATCCTAGATTTTGAAAGTGCTACATGCAGTACTTCACTCAAACAAAAGTCCCGACATTTGGGTCTCGCTTTTTTTTTGACTCGCCCTGTATTATTCTGCAGGACGACTAGCACAATGTGGAGACCACGGTGAATCGTTCGGTTCTTAATTGTGCCCTACACAAATCATGTTCCCCTAAGAAACTTGAAGTGAGACTATCCTTGGAATTTCTGGATATATTCGGGACATCTGTTTCAGCAGATTTTTTTGAATTTCTGTTTTTTTTTTAGCCTGGTTCGAGAGCAACACAGTGTACCGAGAACAACAGTCCTTGTGTATGCTATCGAGTAAGTAAATGAACTGCTTTGTAATATTTGCTGGAAAAAAAGATAATTTTTTACACTTGTGCGACACTATCATAAAATTCAATGCTACTGTATTACGATGACACTCCTACTAATTTGGACTAAGTTAAACTTGTACCGACTTCGTGTCAATCTTCAGAAGCTAGAAAGATAATCCTTTGTATTATTTAAAACATGCTTGTCTCTCGATATGGATACGTTCTCTCGTCACAAGGGCCCATAGCCTACAATTTCACAGGTTTTTAACCCAAAAAAATTAGTTAATAATGAAACCAAAGATTCCTCAAGAGTTTCCTCAGCACTAAAGCTCGAAAGCCTGAAAAAAACCTGCAATTACAGTTTATTTAAGTGGAGTGGAAACCCTCAAAAGAAATATTGTTGGGGAACCCACGATCTGACCTAGGTAGGGACTGAAAAAACAATCCACATGTGGTCCGGGTAGGAATCGAGCCTGGGCCATATCGGAGGAAGGCGAGAAAAGTAACCGACTCCGGGTTGATTTTTTTATATCGTGCTCGTAGACGAATCATTGTTTACGACGATGGAATCATTGTGTGTCGTCGAATGTTACATTGTTGACATCATTGGTATGCATCACACTGTGATAATCGTTTAAATGGCACTGTTAAATTGTGTCATCGAAGGCATATTCCCAGTTTTAAGCGAGAAACGGACATTTTAACCGATTTTCTTAGTGTCAGTTCGAAATTCTGAAAAGAGATTCTGATAAACAGTGCTGGTGGATCTAGTACAAAGCTATAAAATGCTCCGTAACGAGCACACCAATGGTCTATTCACAAATCCACTCGATGCACAAGTAACCGAATACGAGAAGAATTGATCTGTCACAGTTCATTTGAATACCTTGCGACTTCCGTATTCTTCTCTAATCCTGTTGGTGTGGTATCAGTTTTGAATCATTCTTTTAAAAGGTTATTTTTTAGTTTTAAATGGTCTTTGAAATATTCATTGTTTTTAGATTTTGCATTTGCACAGCAAATCGGTATAAATTGTAATACATGTAGGCCTGCTATGGCTTAATAAATATGTATAAATGATGTTTTTCTGCGATTAAAAATAACGAAACAAGGTACGGAAAATGCCATAAATTACCAGGATGTACAGGTTTCCTACTTAACGCACATTGGAATCTGTATTTGTAACATATTCAAAAGCTCATTAACTCGAACTGAACTGCCCAAGATCATAATAATGAGACAAATATTAGGTATGTCATAATTACATTGTCGCCGGGAGGTGAGGCAAATTTCCGGACGGGAACATGAGTAACTAATTGGCTTGAGCAGAATGACTACGTGATGCACATTGTGATGGACTCGATTACAACACTATAGTGATTAAAATTTGCCAGTGGCGATCACATAATAATGTATCTAACTGAATTACATTCACTTTAGGAAGTGCAATTAATAATTTTTCTTATCATTCAAGACAGGTGATCTCTGTGGTTACTGCAAGGTAAGATAAGGCACATTCTCGCATTACAATAGGTTAAATTACAAAATTAGCAAATTTCCGGACACAGCTTCTCAATATGTACGCATTTCTTAGCTTCTGCGACGTGCCCCGCAAGAAGCCAAGACCTGCAACCCCCGTTAAAACATTGTTCAATTATCTCATACCCTTAGCACTAAATGCACTTTTATATGCCCTTAAAACTACTTAAAAAGGGCGTTCATTCTGCCCCACTTTATTTACATTATTGTAGCCTTGCCGCGTGAGGTCGCTAACCGCACTTTACACTGTACGTGCGAGTGCACTGTTTGCACAATATTTTCTTACATGTCAGGCGATTTATCAGTTTCCATAAATTAGTATGCTAGTAACAATTTTACAAAGGAATTGTTGGGGTGATTTTATTGAGAAATCAATGAACCAAATACATGTATTTGCAAATTCTTGATTGTTTGCAAGTCAATTTTACTATTCAAGGGCTCCGGAAGCATGCAAAATAGGGGTTAAGCTTCAGGCTCTCTTGTAACCTATTGGGAAATTCCCTGCAACTTTTTTTGGATTATCATTAAGATGATTCCAAAGGGGTATCATGAAGAAAAGCTTGTCAGACATGCGTCTGCTCTTTGTATTGAATATTTCCTACACAGTACTTGAAAATATTCAAATGCACAATTCCCCACATATTTTTAAGCAATTTCAGCCACCAAATTTTGATATTAAACCAAACCTAACAAAGTGCAGGGAGGATAATGTACCAGAAGCAAAAACTCAATGCAGCCAGTTAAAAACAAAGCCACAACTCGGTGGCGTAGCAAGGTCATTATTTATTGGGGGAGGATTTCGTAGAAGGGCACTTGCCCACCCGTGCTGAAATATAGACACTTTTTTTTTCTCTAGACACTTGGCCTTCGTAAAATCAAACAGGGGGAGGAGGGTGTCAGCTGTCGATGGGGACGCTGTTCAAAACCGATGATTTTGCACACTAATGCACAACACTGCGCTTCTCAGGGTGATACATCCGTAAATGTCAACAAAAGACACCCGGAACGGCCGATAGCACAAAGAAGGGCACTTGCTCAGAAAAAAAGGGCACTTGTTCAAAAAAGGGCACTCTTCACAAAATATTTGGGGGAACCGCTGGTGAAACAAAGGCCATTTGAATGAAAAAGGGCAGTCTTTACAAAATATTGGGGGGGGGGGATATTTGGGACAAATATTTAGGGTTAAATACCCCCTGACACCCCCCTCCCCTACGCCTATGCAATATAGGCCTATAAGTTGCCCAAAATGGAATCTGACTTTCAACTAACCCAGGAACAGATTGGCAAAGAATGGTCTAAGGAAGCTCTTGGAGAGGTTCGGCCCCAAGATTACGGTGGATTCTCACAGCAAACTGTGCATGCCTTGTGTGTTCTGCTGGACGCCGGTAACAACTGGACAAAACTCCTGGAAAAGATGACTATCGTGGAAGGCACAGTAGTCAGGCATGTCGTTCAACAGGGTAATTTTCGCACCAAGACATTACTGAACGTCTATTTCGTCTGTAGCAGACGTAGTAACAAAACAGACGAGGAAGCAAAAGAGTTATTGGTTAAGTTACTAAATGAGATGAAATTTAAAAGAGCTGTAGAGATCATACAAAATGACCACAGTGATCGTGCTGAATAAGAAGGTAACTGAATGACTCAATCCAAACAGAAGCACAATATTTCTTGCAAGACAAATGTTCGGCATTATGCAAGATATTGCTTTGGAAATGTCACACAAATGACGAGCTTTCGCGCTACTAAATTTCAGTTGATTGTTCTTTTTGGTCACATTATAAGCTGAATATTTGTTTCTACCCAGTTGATTGCCATTTCTGTCGTCTATTTTTACATAGTGGTGTCGTGAGCCGATGCTTTAAACTATCACTCTGTATAATGTAGAATGAAGTCGAGTGATTAAAATGTTTCTTTTTTCTACATTATTAGTGTAAGTCAGGTGTTATTGTGTGAGTGTAACGTCAAGACGTACATTATTCAAACGATCACTATGTCACGTAATGAAAGTATTATCTTTGTGGATAACGTAGTTTAAAATTCATTGAACGCGATTATACCTTCATTTACTTGTAAAAAAAAATGTCCAGTTGACATACGAGAATTTTAATGCTTAATTTTACAATTGGATGGTCGTTTTAAGGATAAATTCTTGACACTGATAATAAATTAGACAAAATGTTTAAACAGGAGAGCAATTGGCAGATAAGACAACTGTCTTCACGAGTGTCTTATTGTGGATCAGCATGTGATTTTATCCTCTCGAAATACATATGAGCAATATTTTAGAAATTAAAGCATGCACTTATTTGTAGCATATTTTTGTAAGTAAATGAAAAGTGCCTTAATCTCTTAGTCTAACAGACAAAGTTTTAGACCTGGTTTTATTTCGTTTTTTTTCCAATGTCAGAATCAAAAATCAGCCTAGCACCAAGTATGTACAATGAATAGCTAAAACTGACTTGTGTGATTCCGAATATTAACCTACATTATTCGCGTAACAGTAAAACTTTTCTTGTAACAAGGACAAATGAAATGATACGGCAACTTTCAAAATCGCGAAATAAGGATTGTGCATTGAGAAAGACGCTTCATCAGTGAATGATGAAGTGCATTGTACTTGGTAACATTCGTTCATTTGTTTCATGCAGCTGCCAGATTTGACTGCAAAGATTGTTGGCTGCTTATGATGCTTATCAAGAAATGTCATATTTGATTTTGAGGACGAAGTTTGCACTGGAAAAGCTTTAAGAGTGTGTCTTAGGACAAAGTTTGAATTACATATCAGATAACACATGTATATAATTCAAATGACGAGCTTTCGCGCCACTTAATTTCAGTTCATTGCTCTTTTTAGTCACATTAATTAGGTATATAATTTTTACCCGAAAAGCTTTAAAAGTGTGTCTTAGAATAGAGCATGGTTTAAACTTATACAATAGAAAACAACTGAATTTGGTTTAAAGTAACGATATGTAATCGTTGTAATTAGCCTATAAATATTAATGCTAATTGTATTTTGAATCCAGTTATTACGTAAAATACATGTAAGATAAAGGTTCCCTCAAATATTTTAGGAAGTGTAAAAAGTATCTCTTTCATTATAAAAGCAGAGTGTTATGGTGAGATTCTGACAATGAGAAACACATGTTACCTGTTAAATGTTACCCTGAATATCTGGCAAAATATATTACATACAAACTAACATTTTATACGGGATCGGTGCGTTTATTAAGGGAAAACTGGGATGCAACCTGAATATGTTTTTTTGTTGTAAATAGTATAATAGCTGCCCTAATAGATTGATAGTTTCTTTAATTGTTTTTACAATTATGAATGAGTCCTTTTATCATCGCAGAGATTTCATTTTATTTCTTAAACTCCACCACTTGAGACATCCTTTGTTCCTATATTAAACGTGACTGACTTTCTGTTTTGACTAGCAGTGGTTTTAAAGTTGATGTTACTTATAGTTAAACAAAAGCACATGTATGTACAGTTCTTTATAATTACATTTAACGAGATCATTCTTGGCGAAACAACTAGTATAGCCTAATTCTAAGAATGATTACATTTTGACTAAAGATGCTTTTAGATGATAAGTTGATTTTCTAATAATCCTACTTATCAAATGTTCTCATTGTTGCAAAGAGATACTCTCAAACACTTCCATATATGTTTGTTTTATCAAGATTTGGATCAACTTTGCCTATGTGAGTTAACTGATTATGGAATGAAAAATGTCTCGTTTAAATATTGTTTAAACATGGATATTTGGCTACGGTTAGTCATTTTTGTTATTTGTTATATCAAATCAATTATTTGATCCTTTGTTCCTAGTATTGAAAAAAAATATTTTGCACTTAGTTTTGCCTAGTATTGATTAGTTATAATTATATTTTAATTATATTACATACGTATACACGATAACAGTTCTTTAAAATCCCTTCGCGAGGTGCCTTGCACTTTTGATCATTTGCAGCGTTATTACACAAGTACCTTTATTAAGCTTCTAGATCTGCATTTTACAATGTTAAAACTTAATATAGTAACTGCTGCCATAAAGCTTAAATGCTTGTTTTGCAAAATAAAAATGATGCTACGTAGGGGAGATGGGGGTAAGTTGAAACGCGGAGTAAGTTAAAACATTGAGATTTTCTCCCATGGCATATGATCAATTTCATGAAAGAGTACCATCCAGGGGTAATATCAATTAACCACGTTACCTACAGGACTGCTGCCAAAATGGTGTTAAAATGGGAAGGGAGTCTTCTTTTTTGACTGTCCGAGTAACAATTTCATCATTTAGAAATTGTGTATTATCTTACTGATGTACACAGAATAATGTGACAAGTTTTTGAGTATTTTTGACTGGTCATGTTGTCATAAACTAATACACCCAACTTCATGTTGATTGATTTTCAGTCAAAAGAAAGTGCAAATACACTCTGTGAGTGTAGGAGGCACTTAAACAAATGATGCAACATCTTGACCATGGCTACACATTTCTTAGCCCCAAGTATTTTTGAATGCTCCCTACATTTAGGTTGTGAAATTTATTTGTACATTCCGAGTATACAACTTTCTGCGCTTTTAAACTTCATTAGGGCTAACCCAAATGATAACACAGTTTTTATGTTCACATTGGAATTTTTTAAAACCACATATACTATAATAAGATGGAATTGTTTTTTTGTGCGTCGGGGTGATATAAATCAAATTATGTTTAGCTCGGTGGTCGAGTGGTAAGACATCTGCACTAGAAAGCAGGAGGTCGTGGGTTCGAGTCCCACCTTAGTGATTTTTCCAACTTTCACTCGGGAAGTAACACACGAAGTATACAGTGTTTAAACGTCGGTGAAGGGCAAAAACTAATTTGACACATATACTATGTTTCAACCAACCCCATACCATGTTCCCTCTTACCTGTAAGTGGGGTAAGTTGGAACACCTGAGATGCTTGTGTTCAAGGTGGATTATATAAGTGACCATCAACAAGCCCAATAGGCTGTATTTGTAACGTGCATATATACACATAAACACGTATAGTTATTGCTTCTTGAATTAAATTTTTTCTTGTGTTATAGCCTTTTTTTCAAAAAATTGTTGAAAACCCCCGCCTCCCCTAGATGTTTTCAGTTTGTAGTCTATTTTAAACCATACAGAAATCGTTATACTTTTATCAACATGTAATGTTTAACTGAAGTCCATAAAAAAAAATTGAAGAATTTGATGTAACGTCACACTGTTTTATACTTCCAATCTGAACGCAATACTATTGAAATACCATGCAATGGAAATATCACAGCTGGATATTTATGTGGCATATTCTTCCACTAATAAGTAGGTGTTTGCGTAGAAAATAGTCTATTACTATATTTAATTGCACTTTTCTAACAACAATCAGTACTTGGATTAATTTACTCCCATGTATTTTTTTAATGGCTTCGATTCTAAGAAGCAACATCAAATTTATGTTGAGGAGTATAAAATCATCAACAATTTTACATACTTATTAATCTTACTACATATGCAATTGTACATCATTTCGCTACCTGCCCGGATTATTGATCTCTATGTATATACTGTAATTCCAGAAACAACATGATACTCATTTGGTGTTACTTTTATTTGCGTTCTCATTTAACTAAGTTGGTAAATTCTCTATGAATTTGTTTTGGTAACAACAGACTCTATTGATTACTGGCATAAAACTGTTTGGATCATGATAGGGTATATCAAAACACTCCTGCTTGTCAATCGTATTGCAGAATGGTATTGCAGAATGGTATTTAATCAGATTTTGTTTTTGAAATGTTGCTTGCTAGTATCGAAAATTAAATGTAGTAGCTTTTGCCGCACATTCGTCTGAACTCTTTTGTTTTTATTTTAGATTCTTATTTGTGCACCTACTGTAAAGTGTTAGAATGGCTAGGGCCCTGAAACGAGGTTAATCACATTACGAAAGACAGGCGAAGATAAGTTCAACAAAGAAGATGTAATGCATGTATTTTAACATCACAGATGAACTGTTGTATGCTTCAAAGAATGAAACCCTGACTATGGATAGCTTCATTTCTTTAAACTGACCTACATATCGATACATAGTTATTACAGTCTCTGCATATGGCACAAAAAGATGGAGATGACTTAGACACTCTACAATACCGGCTGTGCGAACAAAAAAGATATCACGTGTTCACCCCACATTTGTTGACCACCAACGGATGGACTTAGTGTTTACCGGTACGTGACTGCATTGTCTAAGAACACAAAGAGATACATCAGTGGCTTAAACTGCAAGTATTCAGAGCTGCACACAAAATAAAAAAAAAACCACTGGATAGAAAGCATGTCTCAGGCCAAAACGAATCAAGAAATATTTAAAGCTAAAGACACATATCAATAATCCTCTGTCATCTTAAAAGCTTGTCCTGTTTACAAAATATAAAATAAGCCC